AATGAGAAAACTTTATTCCAACTTTTAGAACCAAAATCGTCGATGCGGAAACAGAGAACAAGTAAGGAACTAGTCGTAAAGTTGTTGTTGAGGTAATATTATATTCAAACTTGTTAAAAGACATGATCATAGAGTGCTATAGAATTTCAAGCAAACATGTTTACACACATACATTTTTGATAGCCTGAATAATAACAGTCTATACTGTTATTATTCATACTCTATAGTAGCTGTTCATTGGACTTCTTTGTTTGTAGTCGTTTACCAAACGTTAAATATGCTCATTATGTGTATATATTGCTGGACACTCTCTATTTATTCACTGTTAATGAATTGCAATAGAATAAAAATAATGTCACAAATAAAAATATTATACATCATTTACTATCGTAAAATTGGAATAATCTTGGAATGTTGCAAAGGAACATCTTCAGAACTTGGTGATAATTTAACAGATATAAGTTTTTTTTTTTGATAGAAGAGGGGGCAAAAGAGCATGCGGCTCACCTGATGGTAATTGACTACCGCCGCCCATGAACAACCGCAACACCAGGGGAATTGCAGATGCGTTGCCAGCCTTTTAGAAAGGTGTAAGCTCTTTTCTTGAAGGTCCCTAAGTCGTATCGGTCCGGAAAAATCGCCGGTGGTAAACAATTCCACAGATAAGTTGTAGAAGGAAGAAAACTCCTAGTAAAACGCACAGTCGTGGACCACCAAGCATCCAGATAGTGAGGATTGTATCGTGAATTTTGACGCGATGTGCGTTCGTGAAATTTGGCGGCTGGAATTAATCTGACCAATTCCTCAGTGCACTCGCCGTGGTAAATTCGATAGAAAATGCAAAGAGATGCAACAATTTCGATAACACAAAGATTACTTTGAGATTACTTTTTTTATCACTTCAAACAAGGAAGCCTACAGCCTATAGTTGTGTTGTCACTTCTAAGACCCAATATGAAACGTCTCATAGCTTGTAATTATACAGATACTGTTACAGGATTTTTTTCTCTTTATCTTTTAAAGTACACTACTAAATATAGGTGTCTATAGGCAAAATATCTCCTATACCAAATCGTCCTACGGCTATTGTAAGGGACGGCAAATGGAAACAAATTAGAAGATGGGCAGCAGCATCTTCCTAAAAACGTAAGTAGATAAGGGCCCGTCACGCTTCTTGAATGCGTAATAACGGATTTCTTCGTCATTCATTGTAAATCGTCAAAAGTCCACTGCTTAACATAGGCCTTCCTAATAGATTACCTTCTAGATGGTGTTGCAGCGCTATCGTTACGTCACTAGCGGAACGCAACGAAGCCTAAATCGCACTATTAATGTTCCTAATCTACCGCGCAATATGTAGAACAACTCTGAAACAACAGACAAAGCGTTGGCCGCTATCCGGGCTTAACACATTGCCCGATGGGAGATCTCACCTTTTCCTTCACGGCCAAAGTAGTGACCATTTCTGTAAACACGCAACCAGACAACCTTTGAAAATTACAACTTCAAGCCTTCGTTATTATCTTTAAGAACCCATACCATTAACTCCTGAGAATCGTCTTCTGTAGTCTTCAGATCCTGCAATCTACGAGTATCTAGATACAATTTTCATCGCAGTACTAGAATAACGCTTCCTGTTCCTTCAAGAAACTCTCTGCTCTACAGTGTTCAGCACCGCTCTGATGCTTATTGCTTGCCTCTGTTTCACGACACTCTCGCAGACCTCCGGTCTGAGCAGGGGAGTGATTTGGCGGCTTTATTGTCGCGCCATAAGCAAAACGCACCGAAGCCTAAATCATGCTACTCGAATCAAAGTTCCGAAACTACCACGCTATATTAAGAACAGCTCCGTTACAATGCAGAGCTGAACATCTTGCCCGGCGGGAGATCTCACCTTTTTTTTTTTAAGAAACACGAAAGTGTAAACCTTTTTTTAAAACATTTAATATAATTGAATCTTTAATATAATGTAGAGTGACGACCTGGTAAGATATGCAGGAAGTCTATGGATGCAGGTGGCTCAGGATCGTGCTTTGTGGCATTCCTTAGGGGAGGCCTATGTTCAGCAGTGGACTTGTGAAGGGCTGTAATGATGATGACTTGAATTAGTTATTTATAACATATAATGTGCGAAGCTTCTTCTGCCAGTGTTAATAAAATATATTGTCACCAGGAATCTGAGCAATTAGAAAATAATTAAAAAAATATATTTGTATAAATTCTGTTCTTACTGGAGTACTTTAGTGCGCAGTGGCTTAGCGTTGAGACTGCGGCACATAAACCCTCTTCGAGTTACTGAAATTCATAGTATATGGGGAATAGGCATTGATATTTTGAATGAAAAAAGAAAACAAAATATACATAAAACCAAAGATCTCATAAAACAATTACGTATATTTAGGTGAATGCGTTGTCACTTCCGAAGGCAAAATTTTTAAATATTAAACTATATGAAAAATACTAGAAAAATTATTAACATTACTAACGTCTCCGCTAAAAATTTTTTTAGTACTACACTTTTGATAGTAGTTAAAATCAAGTTTGTACTCATGACTTTCTAGGTTTGGGTCTCTTTTATATTCATAATAATCTTACGATTTCGCTACAGCCTGTGGACCTTGACTACCCTTTGATCATGATCTTTTCCACACGTTCGTGTTCTAAATGATCCACTTTGCGTCACCATTGATCAATCTTTTCAAAAATGGTTCGGTTTCATTACGTTTCAACAAAGAATCTCAAATGAGTACACGATTCATTATGTTTCTTTCAGTGAGTTAGTGTGGTACCCAAATACCGAACTTTTCTGTATAGCCAGACTTTTTCAAATGAGTCAAATATGTTTTGTGGTCAATCTTCAATTTATCGGCTATGTTTTAACTACTTATATGCCGATCTTTCTCCACGTTTTCAAAAAATGTCATTGTTATAAACACAGAACATACACGAGCATTCCTTTTACTCGGAACAAAAAACTGACATCGAGTAGAGAACAGGCGAATACTCGGGTCGAGTAGCGAGAACAGCCGAACACGGTGTTTACATACTCGTACTCGTGCATGCGTCTGTGTCGGCGAGTATGTACACGTTGCATAAGATAATCAAAGAGTATTTTAAACCATTTAAAAAAAAAACTATAATCTGGAAAAATATAGCCTAGATAGCCTTTCTCCATCCTTGCATAGCTCTTTTTTGCTTATAAAGTGATTAGTAAAAAGGAAAAACTGAGGTTTTTTATGTATATTTCTTTTTAACACTGATAACGCAAGCTCTGTAAAGATAGCAGTGCAAAGTCAGCAGAAACTTTAAATTGTATCCAGGAATTTGTAGCTAATTTGTTGCTAATTAGTTGCCATAATCACAATTTTGTTGCTCCAACCGGTTTTGAGAAAATTGATTTATTGCTATCTTTAGATTAAGATAGCAGTAAAATTTTCAATCATCCCCGCCATAGCGGATAAAACGGGATAATTTGTTGCTAATTATTTGCTGAAATATAATGAAAAATAATTTAAAAATAAAAAAAAATGTTTCAATTAAAAATAAATAAGAATCAAGTAATGTTTTAATACTGGTTCTGAAGTTCCAAATTAATGAGTATTTTGCTGCTGATCAATAAATAGATCAATAACTCCTAGACAGCCTACAACAACATAACATCTGTCAATAAACTGTATCAAGTAATAAGTACAAATTAAATGTGTATATGCTGCCTATACGAGAAATTTAAAGAAAACGACAGTAGACACTTTGTTGCTTTTCAGCTATGGAAGCAACAAGTCATAAAGAGCCAGCAACAAAATAAAATAGATCTAAGGGCTGCACCAGGTAATTAGTTAGTAATTATTTGTGTACATGTTATATTTACTTGAGAGTTTTAGATAAAAAGAGGGCAGATATTTTGTTACTGTACAGTTACGGAAGCAGTAAGTCATAAAAAACCAGCATCAAAATCAAATCAATCGATGAGCTGCACCAAGCAATAAGTTAGTAATAATTATTTGTGTACATACTTTATTTACAGGACATTTTTTAAATAAATGGCAAGTATATTGTTGCTTGTCAGTAAGTTTATACAGTACCGGAAACCCTTTTTACTGGAAAGAGTCATTACATCTTAGTCGTCACGGGTGACAACGCATCTGCATTTTGATACGTAATCGAGAATAGATGTAGATGTCTATGGACAGAAGCAACCAATTACCATCAGGTGGACTATGCGCTCGTTTGTCAACCTTATCCTTTAAAAAAAGAAAAAATATCTAGTCATAAAGAGCCAGCAACAAAATAAAATCGATCGTTAAACTGCACCAATAATAGCAAGTAATTATTTGTTTACATGCTATATTTACATGAAAATTTTAAGAAAAAAGTTAGCAGATATTTTGTGGCTGGTCAGTAATAATAATAATAGTAATAATAATGACGGACGTTGTCAAAAGTAAATGATGCAGTCAGTACAAAATCTTAAAAATTATTTTTTGTAGCATATGTTTCAAGTTCCCAAAAAACAAATTTTCAACGCAAATAGATTTTACAATATCAATATAAATAAAAACTTTAAAAATCTGTGGATAAGAAACTAATTTCAAGAAAAAATGTATTTCTTTCAAATTGACAACTGTCATATAAGAAATTTTACAAACAGATTTATAAAATATTTAATTTAACGTTACATTATGCATCGAACGAGACGACAAAGAAGAATAAATACCGCCAATACCACAATCGCACACGTAACATCGCCTACGGAGGACTACACATCCATGGAATGTAATCCTAGAGGCACAAGAAGAACCCCCGTACCATCTTTGAGGGGACGAAGAGCGCCACCGGCTGGCTTGGGACCTGCAGGAATTACCATCCTACAAGAGGACCCCGCTACTGATGGTGTAGTGCGACGACGCATGCGCTGGACTAAAGAATTAAATATAAGTGTTATGCGCGCGTACTATAAGGCTACCAAAGGAGGAACCAATCTTACATCTTATCGCCCTAAAATGCTATCTGAATTCCAACAGCTACAGCCCAACCTAACAAACTTAACTGCCCAAAGACTTTCAGATCAAGTACGTGTCATTCTAAGTCGTAAGATTTTGGATGACAGATTACTTGAACAACTTTGCAGTGAGTACTCAACATCTTCTATCAATTCAATTCCTGATTCCCAACGAACACTTCCAGGTGAGTCTGATGACTTAAATGTTAATAACAGTAACCATAATATAAATATTACTAACTTAAACAACGAAAAAGTAGAGCAAAATTGTTTTGATATAGATGTGAGTTCCCAGGACAGCGAATATATAAGAAGGACTTTCGAATGTTCTCTTTTGGAATATAAAAATACACCTATAGAAAATAGACCGAAACTACCTAAACTGCCTAACAACAAAAAAACTATATTAACAGTAGCATCAATGAATGTTTTATGTAAAGATTATTTTGAAAAAAGTAATTCTATTTTGGAAACTATGTCTCTTCTATACTGTTGTGCCCATGCTGTACGTATGATAATGAAAATTCCTATCATTTCAGTACAAAATTTTATGAAAAATAATACAGAACCTAAATGGAAACAAAGAATTCAAAAACGAATTGACAATACTCGCAAAATTATAGGAAAATTAATAAGCTACCAAACAGGTAACAGGCGTAAAAAAATAATTACTTTAGTAAATCAAATCTCTAATGAAAATAATATTAGCCATTTAGATCCTTATTTTCCGGATAAAATTACTGAGTACATTGATACGCAAAAACAAAAGTTAAAAGCATGGGCCAACCGTATTAGACGATATTCAGAAAGGTCTAAACGGTACTTCCAAAATCGCACATTCGAAAGTAATCAAAAGTGGGTGTATCGGTCTTGGGAGAACACTACAACTAATAGTTGTACTCATGGCAGCCCAAGCTTAATTGAATGTCTAAATTTTTGGAAAAATATGTGGTCTAATGAAGTTTCTCATAATGAAGCCGAATGGATTCGTGCAACCGAACGTAAGTTTTCTAATTTGGCTAACATGGGTTCTATCTCAATTACTGCTGAAGATGTATACTCAATTACTCGTAGATTACACAATTGGAAATCACCTGGACCAGATGGTATACACAACTTTTGGCTGAAATGGATAACAAGTAGCCATGTGCGTTTGGCTGCACAGATTCAAGAAGCCATTGAGTGCTGTGAGCTCCCGAGACTTCTTACAACTGGTATTACCCACTTACTATATAAAAATGGAAAGAGCACGGAACCTAAAAATTACCGACCTATAACATGCCTTTCAACTGTATACAAATTAATAACTGCAATTTTAAATAACAAGATCTATAAACATTTGGAAAATAATAACATTCTGTCAACCGCACAGAACGGATGTCGGAAAGGGTCACGTGGTTGTAAAGAACTTCTTCTCATTGACACAGCTATTTGCCGACAAGTTTTTCGTAATCGCAAAAATATGTCCGCTGCTTGGGTGGATTACAAAAAGGCATATGACTCTGTTCCACATTCATGGCTAAAGAGAGTTTTAGAAATATATAAAATAGATGACAAAATTTGTAAGTTTTTAAGTAAATTAATGGGTTAGTGGAACACTATCCTAAATCTACCAGGTAAGTGGCAAAGTAGTTCGATAGACTCTATAAATATTAAGCGGGGTATATTCCAGGGCGATAGTTTGAGCCCAACTTGGTTTTGTTTAGCCCTGAATCCTTTAAGCACTGTTATTGAGGAATCTGGATTAGGATTTCGGTTTCGAAAAGAAAACTCACCCATCTCACATCTACTTTACATGGATGATCTCAAGCTATTCACATCAAAAGAGAGTGATCTATTATTATTGTTGAAATTAACACATAGTTTCAACAATGATATTAGAATGGAATTTGGAATAGATAAATGTGCTGTCATAAACGTAAATAGGGGCAAAATTAAAGATTGTAATAATTTTGCAAGTACAGATGACTTACATTTCAGTTCTCTTTCTGAGACAGAAACCTATAAATACTTGGGCATGGCAGAAGCGCTAGGAATTAATGACAAAAACATTAAAGAAAATTCAAAAGTAAAATTTATGTCAAGATTAAAAAAAGTTATCAAAAGTCATTTATCTGGCGGAAACAAAATTAGAGCATATAACTCCTGGGTAATACCTAGCCTTCTATATACTTTTGGTATTACAAGATGGTCTCAAACGGAATTGGATGACTTAGATAGACGAGTCCGCACATTAATGACTACGCACAGAATGCACCACCCGCGATCATCTGTCATGAGGTTGTATCTTCCAAGAAAAGATGGTGGACGGGGCTTATTAAACATTAAAAACCTACACAACCGTGAAGTATACAACCTCAGAGACTATTTTATTAAAAAAAAAGACACATCACGCATTCATAGTGACGTAGTGATTAATGACAAATCATTAACCCCGCTTAATATGTCGGCAAAGGACTGGCAGAGGCCTCATACTATGACTATAGATGAACGCAAAAAGGTTTGGAATGACAAACAACTGCATGGTCGATTTTTTAAAACATTGACTAATCCTTGTGTAGACATGGTTCCATCAGTACATTGGTTACAGTTTGGTGACCTTTTTGCAGAAACTGAAGGGTTTATCTGTGCAATACAAGACGAAGTAATTAAAACGAATAACTACCGGAAGTACATTTTGAGGGATGGCACAGTTGACGTATGTCGCGCATGTCACCACCCTGGAGAGTCCCTCAGACATGTTATTTCCGGTTGTTCACAACTATCAAATGGCGAGTATTTGCACAGACATAACCAAGTAGCTAGAATAATACACCAGCAGCTTGCGATTAAATTTGGTTTTAATCAACAGGACGTTCCATATTATAAGTATGAACCAAAACCAGTCCTTGAAAATAGAAGTGTCACGCTGTACTGGGATCGGTCAATTATCACAGACAGGTTTATAGTGGCAAATAAACCTGACATTGTGGTGATAGACCGAACTGCACGCAAGGCAATAATAGTGGATATCAGTGTTCCTCATGACGAGAATCTCGTGAAAGCAGAGAATGATAAAAAGATAAAATATATCGACTTGGCTCATGAGATTGTCGCTATGTGGGACGTTGATTCTACTATTATTGTACCAATAGTTGTTTCAGTCAATGGGCTTATTGGTAAAACTATGGACGACTATCTATCCAAGTTGGGTTTGGGCAAATGGCTGAAGGGATTAATTCAAAAATCGGCCTTATTAAATACGGCTCGAATAGTGAGAAGGTTCCTATCTTTGGATGCCTAATTTCACCGATGGCTTAGGATTCCTCGCCGCGGTGGATAATAGCCGAAATAATAATATTATTTATATAGATTGTATTTATATTTATAATATTATAGTTTTTTGACAATATATATGTGATAATGTAATAATAATAATAATAACGTGGCGTAGGGAAGTGACGACCCCACTGACTAACTGTTAAGTATAATTAATAGAATCAGGCGTTATTTTTAGGCGAAATTTTCCTAAAAGTTTTTATAACTGTTAAGTGACAAAATTGCTACGTCAGTGCAGTCAGTCAGCGCCTTGCCAAGAGGTGTGTGCACCGTGCCTCGGCAGAATTGAGGGTACAAAGGTCCGTCTGTGCTTATGGCCGCACCATGAAACGGTGCCGGGCCTGGGCGTCTCCCGTTAATTGACGCCCATACAATGGATGATGCACAATAAAAGAGTGCGCAAAGTGCCGCTGCCTGGAGGTCGCCAGGGTGCGTCTGGAGCTGGCGCTGGACACAACAGCATGCGGGTCGCCAGCCAAGCGCGGGGGGATGCAAAACCACCTAGTAGCCGCCCGCATCCATCATCCCCACCAGAGGACTTGGTGTCGGCTGGGTCTTCTCGGACTCAGCAAGCGGCACCCGTCGCTGGTGGAACACGTCGCAGGCGTTGGACAAAAATGATGAACGCAAACGCATTGCGAGCATATTTTAGGGCAAAAGGGGAAGAAACTGGAATGTTGGCGTATCGGGCTCGAATGCATCGCTTTTTCGCGGAGCTGGAGCCATCTGTTCATGTCAAACCTGGCAGACCGAGTTCGGTACATCCTGCGATCCAACATATTTGGTGACGCCGAACTCGAACGACTACGACGTGAGGCTGTTCCCTCATCGGATGAAAATGCTACAGCTGGTAATGCGACGCCATAAATTGCAGAACAATCTGCACACGTCGATGCTGCCGCGGATTTTCCAGTTGTAGTTGATTCAAACGAAGATGGAATGGTCACCCAAAAAATAGAGCAGATGAGGAGTAAATTGGAGGAGGCGATTGTGGAAACGCGAAGTACGCCTCTCGAAAATCGGCCGCGACTACCGCGCATACCCCTAAGCAAGCGGAATCGGGCTGTCGTGAGGGCTCTTAACCCAATGCTGGTGACCTATTTGGAAGCCAGCCGGGACCTTTGCGAGACGGACTTAATTTCATTTTGGCGCCGCACTGGCAGTTTGCCGTATTATTGGCGCCAATCTTCCCACGGCTGGACGCGCTACTAGACAAAGTAGCGCCATCCCAGCCTGAAGAAGAAGGATTGAGGACCGTATCGCAAAGGCAAGGGTCCTCATCGTTAGACAGATAAGCTTCAGGTCGGGCAATAATAGGCCGAGAAATGTGCGCACCGTCAGAATGGCGTTTTTTTTTTATTTAAAAAAATTTAAAAAAAATTGCTGGGACAAATATCAGTTTGTATTGTTTGTTTGCGGATATAACGCAAAAATTGACGGAGCGCATAGACGACCTGAAGCAGAGAATCGCTGCTTGGGAGAAGCGGATTCGGCGATATACCAAGAGGTCGACACGGTTCAACCAGAATCGTCTCTACCGTAATATGGTTCCTTAAGACCAGGATTCCACAGATCCGAGCAAATACGGGCGGTATTTGCTCGGGTCTTGGATCATTACGTGTCTACCCACCATATATAAGACACTGACATCCATTTTGAGTACGCGAATCCTTCGTCACCTGGATTTAAACCAGGTGATGTCGCGTGCTCAAAATGGATGCCGGGGCGGTGGTCGTGAAACCAAGAAACCACTCCTCATTGACGCGGTCATTGGCAAAGTGGTTAAACGCAACTGTCGGAACTTCTCCGCTGCCTGGATAGTCCTTTGTCATCTACGCGAGCGGATGACGGATGCGGAAAGCCGCATAAGGATAAGAAGGGGTATCTTCCAGGGCGATTGTTTGAGTTCAATCTGGTTTTGCCTCTCCCTGAACCCCTTACTGGAGGACTCCAGTAGGAGATTTCAGCTTCGAAAAGGAGGAACAAAAGTGACCCACCTTTTCTATATGGATGATCTCAAATTATTCGCCTACAGTCGCTCCCATCTTAAGGAGCTGCTAAACATCACTTGTGATTTTAGTATTTCTATTAGAATGGAGCTGGGGACGGATAAGTGTGCGGTCCACCATGTTGAAAGGGGAAGGGTTGCTAATTCTGAAGGCATAGACTTATTTATGCCCATCAACATAAGGACCCTTTCCGAGGCTGAAACATACCGATACCTGGGTATGTCACAGAACATCGGTGTAGATGAGGCGGGTATGAAACAGTCAGTTTGCGATGTGTTTTATGCACGCTTGACCAAAGTGCTTAACCGCCTTTTGTCCGGTGTGAATAAGACGCACGCATATAATGGTTGGATCATGCCTGTTCTCATGTATACCTTTGGCATACTCAGGTGGACTCAGACCGAACTGAACGCTCTGGACAGAAAAGTCCGCACTATTATGACGTCCCACAGGATGCATCATCCGAGATCGTCAGTAATGAGGCTGTACTTGCCGAGGAAGCATGGTGGACGCGGCTTTTTAAGCGCGCTTACCATGCATAATCGCGAAGTGTGCAGCCTCCGTAATTACTTTCTGACGAGTGCGGATGATCCATACTATAGGGACGTTATTTCTTGTGATAAGGACTTACCCCTATATCCTTAGTCAACGAGCAATGGCAAGACCCGGCAGTACAGAGCAAGAGTTTCTACAAGGCTCTACATGAGCCTTTCGTAGATACAGTCGCCTCACTCCACTGGCTACGTTTCGGTGACCTCTTTGGGGAAACCGAGGGTTTTGTCTGTGCGATACAGGATGAGGTTATTAAGACCAACAATTATTGGAGATACATCCTAAAGGATGGCACCGTCGACATCTGTCGAGCTTGTCGCCATCCCGGTGAGTCACTTAGGCATTTCATCTTCGGTTGTTCGGCGCTTTCTAACTCTGAGTATTTGCACAGACACAACTTAGTAGCCAGGATTCTACACCAGGAGCTCGCTCTGAAATACGGTCTCGTGGATCGGAAACTGCCGTATTATAAGTACTTGCCGGAAGCCGTGCTCGAAAATGATCGCGCCAGACTCTACTGGGACCGGGCCATCATCACAAATAGGACCATTCTTGTGAATAAGCCTGATATTGTGCCGATGGACCGGGCACAGTCAAGGATATTTTTGGTCGACATTACCATTCCTTATGACGAGAACCTCGTGAAAGCCTAAACACATAGGCTAACAAAATATCTGGACCTGGCTCACGAGGTGACTGACATGTGGGATGG